AAAAAAAAAAAAAAAAAAAAAAAAACCTGTACATAAAGAGTTAGAGAGCTCTATCATTTAAATGTGTGGCACTTCCATGCTTTTTCCTTTTAGACTTCTGTGACTGGTAAGTTACAGAGGCACGCTTCCATTTATCACATAGACCAAACTTCTTCCAAAATGTTGTAGAGCCAGGGCCCATGTCTCTGCTGCCAGAATTTACTGACTTCAGTGCAGAAATACAGCCTCTTCTATGTTCTTCAAGATGAGAGAGTGAACTTGAAATTTCTGAAATTCCTTTAGAGTCTGTAGGGACATCAAGCAGGACATCCTTCAAGCAGGAAGGTGTGGTACTTCTAGGGGGAAGAAAAGTAAGCTATACCTGCACTAGTAAGCTGTGCTTAGGTAAAATGCTAGAGCTATGCTGTTCTTAAGATTAAAAATTATCTTTTCTGCTGTAGTTTGATTTAGCAACTTGTAAGCTAAGAGTTAAGCTACCTTGGGGTTTCTGAGCCATAGGCAATTGTATGTTACATACCCTTTGAAAGCTGTATACACTAAACTCAATTTATTACGTGTCTAGGTTCTTCAGGTAACTGAATCCCCATCTAAGAATTGGGATAATTTTCTATACATATATGGTTGTGTCCCTGGGCATTCTGCAAGAAATGAGACAGCAGGCTTTGGCATCTTCACGTTCATCTCTTGTTTATTAAGAAATTGCTTGTGAATTCTCTCTTCAAGGACTGTACTGCATTTCTCTAAATAATAGTGAAAGCTTTGGCATATTTGTCTGTTCTTGTTGGCTGCTTTGTTCTGAATTTGTTGGTTTTTAGCAAAATATTTTCAGTAACCTATGTGTCCATCTCTTTGCTTTCTCTAGTAAGCATAGCCTATGTTATATTGCAATGTTTGTCAGTTATAGAAAGCAGTACCAAAAGAAGATACATAAAAGCTTGGGCTACACCACTCACAGGACGACTCACAAGGAGTTTTCCAATTCTTAGAATTATAGACAAGTATTTGCTTTCCTTTTGATTTCTATCTTATTTGAGCAGATAGTGTTGCTATCACTTGTAAAGTATGTATCACTTATAAAGTATGTAATATGAGTCATTTATGTGCAATGTTCCCACAAATAATTTGATCTTGCACATGATACCATCTTGCTGGAAGGTTTCCGTCATCTATATTTTTTAAGTTGTTACTTAACTAATTGCAGAAGGCAAATGTGTGTTGGGGTCAGGGGTCTGTACTTACAGCCATCAGTAATGGTTGTTCAACTCAGGAGAGATATCACTAACCTTTTTTTAATACTTGAAATAGAATATAGTTAAACGCCATTCTCTGTAAACACTTAAATGAATAATGAGCAATTCCTACACATAATGCAGGAAAGAAAAAATTAAGAGGCTGAATGTATCAAAAAAGTCTGGCATCTGGAGTTTATCAAAGGCAGAGAATATTAAATCTTCACAAGCCACTTCAGCTCAGCACTGAGATTTTGTCATCTTCTGATGTTGGGAGTTTCTTGGTATTGCAGGTACTTGGTCAGAAATAAAGGCAGGGGAAGAGTTTGAGGAATTTTTTTTTTCTTTTTCCTTTTTTTTTTTGTCAGCTCCTCAAAAGACACAGGTACCCTCATCTACATCTGCTGTTGTCTTTTCCAGTTACCATAAACAGAACCTTTAATGTACTTCAGAAAGGCACAGTAAGGCAGCGCTGTGCAAGCCGATAGCAAAGGTGATTGTGTACAAGAGTTTTTAGGCAAAAATGTACTACTAAGACTCTCAATAGTATTTGGTACAATTTTCCTTTATTTCCTTGAGTAGGTTAAATACTTTGTTCTAAAGCTGATAATAATTGTCAGGAGAGAATACCTATGAACATGTAAATAGTCTACAGTGTTCCTGCTGTTAGGTTTTTTGAACCATTTGTTAGGCTATGGCATGTGCCAAATACTTAATAGCATTAAAATAAATGATTAAGTTTTTAAGTCATAACATTTTTATTGATCTGAGGGGAAATCTATAACGCTCTTCTGAATTCAGAGGTGCATTAAGCTTTTTAAGATTAATTGCTACCAGTTTTGAACTGATGCAAAGAGGTGACAATATGAGTATAATTTAATCTTTACCATCAGACACAATCAGTAATGCAGTATCAAATGGTAACTACCAACTTCTTGGATTGTTATTCTTTTTTTGAACTTGACAGCTAATTTGCTTTTCCCCCATCTCATAAAATGCTACAACTTCTAGTACTCTAATACCTGAATCCTCTGACTACTGCTGAATATGCAGGTTTAATATGGTATCATCAGGATTCTTGTGCATAAGCAAATGTATTAAGTATACTGGGAGTCAAAGATATGAGTTCTCATTTAGTACAATTAAAAATAAATAAGAGAAGCGAAGGATAAGTAATCTTGTTGTTCCTACTGGGAATTTCTGTATGACCAATCAGGCATGTAGGGAAATTGGACTTCATAGGTTCCTGCCTAACAAGGCTGCCCCTTTATAACTACATACCAGACAAGGCAGCTTTGGATGCTTTTACTATATAAAGATACGTTCACATCAAAGAGTTTGACATTTTTGTAAACCAAATTACTGTTTATTCTTAGAAAAGAAACAACATATTGTGGCTAGATATGGAAAAAATATTTGGAGTAGAACTTCTTGGAATGAAATAAAGAAAAGAAAAAGTGTGTACAAAATGCTTGACAAAGCAGAAAGTATAAAAATATTCTTGAACTTGCGCTGATACAAAAATGCAGGGTTAAAGCTGCTTTTCCAGTTCCTACGTTTGCCAAAAACATGTTTAGAGTTCTTTTAAGGTAAATGAACTGGACTCAGCTAACTGTAAGAAAAGATGTCTGCTTCCTTCTATATAAGTCTGTTGAACAGAAGTTTTTCTAGACCAAAATCTAGCAGATTCCTACAGTGCATGATTACACTTAGCTTGGAAATAATCCCATCCTTGTACAGAAAATCATATACTTGTATGCCACAGAAAACCATAGAATTTACAAGCATATATTAAGGACTTTGAATCAGAGTCCTGATGTTTTTAAATTAGAAAGGTATAAGTGGAAATCTGCTGCAGTTCTAGTGTTAAACAATCTTATAAATTCAGGTAGATGAATCTGAAAACTCCATTGTTTCATGGTATGCACTGCTGGTATCTGTCTGCTCAACACACTGCATTAAGTGCCGTGGCAGGAAATGCCTCAATTCAGTTATTAATAGAAAATATCAGAAGGCAGTAGTTTATCTTCACTTTGCAGATTGTCTCATGTTAGAACACTTGTGCCATATGGAAAAATTTTTGTTATTTCACTTTAAGTCTTTTTAATCTGGCTAGAACTGATAAATAATCAGTTACTTTACTGCCTGTTCTCATTACCACTTGGCTTTCCCTTGGCCTCCTGTTCATGCATACACATGGCATGTGCTGTGCCAAACAGCCAAACTGTCAGCAGAGGGGCAGCGCGATTCCTGATGGAGTGTGCCTAAACTCCAGGCAGTGCTCCGTTAAGCAGATGTAGCATTTTCACTGCAGTGTTTTTGTGATTTTGTAGCATAACACAGCACCAAAACACAGAATTGGTACAAAGCCTCAAAGCTACGATATCATGTTTGTGAGCCTGTGGAAATCAAAGGTTATATGGGGATCTTTGCTTCCTCCAGGTAAGGCTTGTAGGGTGTGCAGCAGCCTCATCTGTCTAAGGAAACAAAACTCTTTTCAGGCTCTTTTCCATTATCCAGCTCTTTGCCCGTTTTGCCTACCTGCCCAGTTAGGGGAAAGTGGATTTTCAATGAAGATGCCTTTAGTCATAGCACTAAGGTTAACTAAGACTCCTTTGAGGGACATGATCTGCATAAGTGCTGCACTGCCTCAACCATACTCACTGTGGGCAAGGCAGCAGCAGAATCCTGCTGTGTGTCTTGTGGCCTTGCCCTGCATTGATTAGTTTCTTGGTTTTTTTATGAGAAAGTGTAAAACTCAAAATGCACTCCCTCTTCTTTTTCCTTATGATCTGCACTTTGAAAAATGTATGGGACTAGGACTTTCTGACACACCTTTCTCAAATATGATCTGAATACTTACTTCCTCTTAGTACAAACAGGATGGAAAGATTTAAATGAAAGGGATTAATGAATCTCCTAAAACAATTGTCTATATACAAAAAGTGATTTGCACATTTGCAGTTTGGGGATGATTTAATTAGACACGCATGTTATTAGTAGGTGCTTGTAGTACTCACAGGGCTAGAACAAGAACAAGGGATCCGTAATGAAAATTTTCCATTAAAAATATAATTGCATAGCACAAAGTCTTTGTAAAAAGCCTACAGACAATTTTCTTGCTGTTTTCTTTTTGTTTGTTTTTAATTAGATGCTGAGATCTAGGTTTATAAATGCTGAAAATAGGAAGAAAGTTTTCTTTTCCTGAGTAGAATAACTAAGCACACGGGCAATATGAAGTTGTGAAAATATCAGAACAGGGTTGCTTTGCTTATAATTTTGATTTTTTCTGTGTTCTAATGATCTTGGTAGAACTGAATGTATGGTAGACACTGGGAATTTATTTGGAACTCTGTATTGCCGTTGTGTCTGATCTTGTCTGACTAGTTACTAATTACAGTTTCTAGTAGTGTGTTACCAGTACTAGGAAGATCAAAATGCTTTTCTTAAGATGGAGTTTCTGGTAATCGCTCTGCCAGCACCGTATTGGATTCAACTGTGTGAAAATGCCATGAAATGTGAGCACAATATATTATGATATGCCCCTTAAGTTGATTTCATGAGAAAACACATCTATTTTTGTCACAGGTGGGGCAAGCGTGCTCCTTTTATGAAGATAATAAATTAAAAAGCACAGACAAAACATCAGTGATTGTGAAAGAGGTTATTAGATGGATTTAAAAGTTGTCATCATTGGTTACCTTAATGTGACTGGGAACAACAGCATGATTTAATAACACTGAATC